TGGTTTCTTGCTTTTTGGTGTGTATCCCAAACATCACAGCACCCAAACACTCATCCCAGGTGTGTGGATGGCCATCCACACCTTACTCAGAGCTCTGAGATACATGAAAGGTATAATATGTCATGCATAACACATGATGTCATACAATTTGCCTTATTATGCAAGTAGTTTAGCAAATACACGTGTTGTTTTGTGATCTTTCTTTGAACATGCATGCATGAAGATAATACTCACCTTTGAATGGTGAGTATTATCTTTTTATTATTATTCATTTTTTTTCAACCAACCCATTGGTTTGGGGGTGGTATGGGGATCACAGACTTCGTTTGATATAAGAAGTTTGCACACTTCTTGGTTATCTGAAAATATAAACAAATAGCTCTGACAAAATAGCTGTAAATTTAAACAAACATATCGAAAAAAAGAGTGTAAAGGAGGAGGATTGATAGTGTTAAATTTTTCTAAGAAAACAAAATACTTGCATAATTTACAAACTCTCTCTTGGTCGGTCAAAAATCCTTTTGGGGGCTTCAAACTGATGCACAAACTTAATTATGCATTCTCTTACTTCAGGTGTGATTAGACTTTAGGGATATGCTTTGGCCACTTTGTAAAATAGTCAGTCATGACACAATATACTTGTGTCCAGATTTTGTTTCTGCCATATTTCCAATAAGGTCCATCCCAATTAATTCAAAGGGATGGGAAACCTTAAATGAAAGACTTCATAGATTAATAAATAAAAAAAATAATGGACCACAGTGAAATGTTTAAACGCATTATTTTGTTAAGCTAAAATAGTAGCTTCTCAATATATTGTTAAATGTTTAGTATTATAAAAATACATTCCTTAATTTCATACATCAACTTGTTCAAAATGTAGGCCCTTTATGAGAACACAGGCAAAGAGGACAACCAACCACTGCTGCACACCACCATGTATTTTCACTGAAGCTGTTTTTATTATTGTTACCTTTATGGGAGTATACACTGATGGCTGTTTCAGTGCTTGAACACTCGACTGGCAGCATGAACACTCAGAGACGTATGAAGTTATGAAAGACAAAAACAAACAAGAATTAACACATGCAAAATTGACATTATGACTATTATAGATTCATATTGGTAACATGAATAAGTCTTTCACATTTATTTGCATATAATTTAAATCTTGTAGTTGGAAAACTGTCTTTGGTGACTTTTTATTTTGCCAGGCTTAAATGAGAAAAGTTGGGAAAAGAGCGATTCTCTTCGCGTTTAAAATAACAAAACAGTGTTCAGAAGACCTCTTTTATTTATTTAGTTTACAATTTTTTCAACAACTGCTGCCAATTAAACTGAATGTTAGACCTCGACATAATCATATGAATTGTTTTACCAAGAAATCATCAGAAGCGACGTGAAAATGGTCAGATCCAGGTCCTCTCTGGCTGCAATGCGCTCTCCACACAGAGGGAACATTTTCACAAGGGAACCGAATTCGCACAAGACCTGAATCTGTCTGATGAAGAGCGCGTGAGGAAGGCTGATGCATTGATGGTAAAACTGCATACCCAACAAGGACTTGTACCGAACTTCACACCCACAGAGATGCAGCCGTCAGGACAAGTTTTGTCATTTCTCTCAAAATCACCAGAAAAAGTAATGTGTTTTCTGACGGAGAGTTTATGAAGGAGCGCTTTTGGGACTCTGTTGCCCTGATATGAAGGGCGCATTTGAGAACCTGTCACTCTCCCGACGCTCTGAAACAAGGCGTGTTGAGGCCATCGCTAGAAACCCGGAGCTTGTGTGACTGCGCTCATGAACAACTGAATGTCAAACTGCAGTGCAAGGGCTTTTTGTGCATGAGATGTACAGTGGAGTGATGGCTTTCATGAGAAAGTTGCAGCTTCTCTCAAGACAAGTGAAGGACACATTCTGACCCACTTGCCAAAGGAAGCCACAATATCAGCCGATCACCTCCACAAGTACTCAAGCAAGTTAGAAGCACTGTATGGAGAGTTTTCGAGGCGATTTCAAAGCTATTGAGCGTGAAACACACATGATTTCTTCTCCTTCAACTGCAGTGTGGACAATGCACCAAGCGATGTTCAGATGGAGCTCATAGACCTGCAGGAGAAAAAGTCTCCTGTTTCTGACCTACTTCTGGCAGAGTAGAAGTAGGTATCTCATTGCTGGACTTTTACTCCTCCCTCAAAGAGGAGAACTTTCCACACCTAAGGAGGCATGCTCAGAGGATTCTGGTCCTCTTTGGATCCACGTATGTATGTGAACAGACATTTTCAGTGATGAAGTTCAACAAATTCAAACAGAGATCATCACTGATGAGCCTCTCTCAGCTGTCCTTCGCATAGCCACCTTAGACATTCAGCCAGATTTCTATGCTCTTGTTCAAGCCCAGAACAGACTGGATTATTCACTCTAAAGAGATAAAATGAGGTGGAAAACATAGGACATTATTGTTTGTTGTATTTCAGTATTTCTGTAAACCTGTAGTTTGTTGTTTGTCCTTGTTTGTGGAACAAAGTTAAAGTGTGAACAAGTTAAAAATAAATTGCAGTGATTCAATGATTGTTTTTGTTTTCTTGTTCAATGTCACGTAGCCTCATATAAATATTTAAGGATTAACAGTTTAAATAAAACCATCAAAAGCAATCTGCTTTTGTATGAAGTTAAGTGAGGTTAAATGAAATTATTATTATTTATCTTACCCCAGGCCTTGAGGGCCAGTCTCCTGCAACTTTTAAATTGTTTCTACTTCAACACACCTGAATAAAATAATGCGGTCATTAGCAGAACTCTGGAGAACCTGACTGCATGTAGGAGGTGATTCAGCTATTGGATTCAGCTGTGTTGGACCAGGGAGACATCTAAGAGTTGGAGGACACCTGCCTTCGAGGACCAGGATTGCCCCGGTATATCAAAAATGATATTGAGCAAAATTTAACTGAAATATTGTCGATGTGGCCCTCCAGTAGAGCTCGGGTTGCTCATGCGGCCCCCGGTAAAAGTTATTTGCCCCCCTCTGTGTTAGAGTGAATGTTTGTATGTTTTGTGATACTAAACATTGTTTACTAGACTATCGTGATTAGTAACTGATTGATTGAGAAATTCAAGCTCTGAAAGGAATATTTGGCATAAAATGATTTGAAATCTCAGTTTTTCGAGACGGTGATTTGAATGCGGATGTAAATAAGTCTCCTGATTTTTCTGTTTCCAGCAAAGAAGAGCTGCTTGCTGACAGTGGCTCACTTGACAAAAATAGTAAATGCCATTTCTGACTTGCAGGAGAAATTTGGCTTGTAAAAACAAACTTATGCTCATTCCGCATGTAAGCGTGATTCAGCTATTGAATCACGTTACAAAGATATATTAATAAGAGCATTGGTTTGCATGTTACTCCCTGTGTTGTGTGTGTTTCCTCCGGGTACCCCGGTTTCCCCCACACTCTAAAAGATGTCGGTATCAGGTGAGTATGTCTCTCTGAACTGTCTTAGGTGTGAATGTGTGAGTGAATGCCGGTTTGGTTTGGATGAATGAATAGGGTTTTTTGATGATAGTACATTTATGTTCATAGAGACGTCATGAAATTCAGATGCTTTGACTCACGCTTTCCGAGCAGTAGACTCCTTCTTAGTTTTTTGCTGCAATTGTTGAGGAGTTTGTTCATGGACAAAGAGAAAATAGGAGCTTTCCTGGGGGAGTTTTCTATGGTAAAATTAAAATTGCACATTTTAGTCCAGATCCTTACCATAGAAGGCTCTGAACTTCACCAAAAAAATAAAATTCTTGAAGTTTTCATTTGTAACTTCAGTTAAACATAACTTATTATTCTACTAATAACTATGATAGCTCTTCTTATACTATCTACTTTTGGTGAAATAAAATAGGATTTGTAATTGTCTTGTGTATGGTGTTTTTGTGATGTATTAATTTATATTTTGCTACATTTTTACCATCACTTAAGATGACTGAAAATGTAAAGAACAAACCAGGAGGAGACAGGATCATCAATGAATATGGGCAGACAAAAAGCCTATCAGATAGCAGACGGCGGGTCATGGTCAAGACACTCGTTGCCCATATGACAAGTGAACATAGGTATGCTGAAAATTATTTATTTTTTCTATGCACCTCTCACAATTACCTTGATTGAAGGTTTTCTTTACACCTTTAACAATGCTCATAGTTTTTGCTGTGTCTCTATAGGACAAGTCCTTCCAGACGTGTAAAAGAAAACTATGCAAAGGGTATTATGACCTTGTTCCCTTACCTGGCTGATCCTAAGAGCAGATTTGGCTATGAAAGTTCAAAACAGAAGTTCAACCTCTTGGCTATGGTGTGAGTAGAACTGAAAATGTTTCTCTTTTGCATGCCCTGCATCTGTGCCACTTGTTTTTAACTTTCCAATTTTTAAACCTTTGTAGAGTTCATTGTTCCAGTGTTGGGCTACTGCAGCTTGAAAAATAAACATTGTGAAGAGATTTTATCTATGTAATTCAAACAATGTGAAATCAAATCTGTAAATCACAGCTACTAGCATTCATGCTTGCCTTTGTTTCCACAGCTTTAAAAACATTTATTCGTTCACCTACTTTTAGGAACATTATTACAATGCAAAAGATGGAAGCGGGTATCTGGCTTCTCCAGAGGGAAGCTTCTAATGGACAAAAGAAGGTCCCCAGACTGTCAAAACCCAAACAGGTATATCTATTTATACTTGTACACATTTCATCCTGCAACCACACTCCACAATAAGTTCCCAAGCCTTATTTATTAAATCCTAAGATGGAGTCTCACATTCATATAATTTTTTTAGGGGGACCAACAACTGATAGAGACTGTTTGAGAGAAGAAGACTGCCTTATGACAGATAGCTTGTGTTCTGAGGCCATTGCGCTGATGAAGCACACAGCTGAAGAAGGAACTGTTATGAGGAAGATGAAACAGACTTTCAACTATCGCCAGAAGATGATTCATGACCCAGTGAAGTCATCGATCTTTGAACTTCCCAAGATTCCTGGACATAGGAGGATTGGTATGTTTATCTTCACTTCAGTTTAACCAACAAAGTTTAAATTGAGGTGGATGTGAGAAAGTTTCAAAATAATTTTTAACACCTTCACTTCATCTGTTCTCCAGGTTGAGCAAGATTTTAGGTTGATGTTTGGGGAAGCCATCTCTGCAAAGTTCCTGGAGAAGTGGCCCACTGTCTACCAGCAGAAAGTCCTCAAACTAAGCTGTGGTCTCACACAGTCTGATGACCTTGAGAACCTTCTTCACAATGCTGAAGGCACAACAGAAATGGAAAATGGTAAGTTGCAAAGACTTATCAAGAAAATGTTTAATGTCATAGAATTTAATTCGAATCGGACCTCCTCCTGCCGTCAGTGTTTGGTAAGCTTACTCTGGAAGTATTTACACGGTTGCAAATAAGAAGTTTTGGTAGCTTATGATTATTTTAATTTTCTTCAAGGATGGGACAGTGATATGTCATCCATTTTGATCCTAGTGCCCCTCCTGCCACCGTCACCTCATAAGCGTAAGAGACCAGGAAAACTCTCATCCAGACCATCCAGTGAAGGTTGTCAAGGATGTCAAGGATTTCTCTGTGGATGCTGGTTCCACAGACAGGAACCAGCATCCAGGAGCACCTTGATGGCATCACAGAAAGCCGTCAACCATACCTGCTTGGAGTAGGAACTCAGAGGAGCGTGATTCACAGGTACTTCATTGTGATTGACAAACATACCATACCTTGTAAATCACAAGGCTCTCTTGCCTGTTTTGATGAGCTTTTTAAAGCTCACTTTGTGTTCGGCACTTCATATGATCATGACCTGGTCAATGTGTACAATTTTATGCAGAACGCCATTCATGAGATAGACGTTGAGACAACCAAAGTTGTCAAGATGGTTTTTGTGAAATGCTAGTTTTCCGTAAGATCTACAATGTTGTTGTGAAAGATGAGAGGTTTCTGTTTGTTACATTTGCTCTGCAGTGTGTCTGAATGAGCATTTCAGTGCTTTTCAAGTTTTGTGTACAAGAGATGGACTTCATGTTATTTATGTAGAAGAGCTTTACTGTTCCAGAGTGTGGAGCGAGAAAATGAACAAAGTCCAAACCTTGTTAAAGAGAGAACAAAATACAGCTTTATTACATCTGCGCAGATGGAGAGCACAACAATTACACTGTTCAGAAGAGCTCTAACTGGACAAGAAAAAAACCTCTCTGACATACTGTAGCCTGTCCTTCATACACAGATATCTATCATATCACCCAAGAAGCAGAGCCCCCCATGCACAGACATAACGTCTGTGGAGAAGCACATCAGATTATCACACACAGAGAAAAATGCAACCCTCAGTTAAAAACAGGTTTCAGGCAGTTTATTAGGCACAGTTTCTATGTCTAATAATAATCTAATCGCCCAGCCCTCAAGATGGGTTTGTCCCCCGTGAAGTAGAAAACTATTTGCTTATCACCTGTTGCTTGGCTTTGAAGGCCAAAAGTGAAAAAAAAAAAACAACTCTGTAAGCATGAAAATAAATTGATTAAAGACTGTAAGATTAATACTGAATAAACTTCTAATAAAAGTATTTACAGGTGTTATATAGTCATACAGTTGTACAAATGCAAATGTTTATATTGTTCCATACTGCTTCCTGTGAACAATAAAAATGGCTGTTCAAATACTGATTTCTGGTCAAAGCCTTGTACTCTTACAAACTCAGCTGTGTATTATAGCTGTGAAACAATTGCTTAGTGAGTGAAATAAAGTTAAATTTGGTACTATTTTAGAATTAAATTTAATGTTTAACTGCACAATATGGAATTAAATTAGGAGTACAATTTTATACTATTAACAGCACAATTTGACACAATTTTACTATCTAGCATATAACTTAGTTTGAGATTTTGTCAGTTAGAGCTAGATTGATTTCAAAGTTTGCTTCATTTAAATTTAAGCAGAGGGAATTAATGCTCATATTTTTAACTTACTTGTGAATTGTTATATTTACTTTTTTCAATAGCAATTTTGTATCTATTTCAGTATTTTCAGAAACTGCTTCAATTAATTTCTACTGTTTTAAGACGTAATTCTTCAGTAAACCTATTTAAACACCTGATGACCAGCGTGCTTTCTGACCGAAGTGGTCAGTTAACAAAATCCAGCAACAGAGGTCAAAATCCTCAACAAATGGTCCTTCGAGCCAGATTGTTGACTGCTACAGAATGTCATCAGAGGAAAATACAGCGACCCACCCTCATACTGATGTACGAGAGCGACGTGCAAGGCAGCACCGTACACACAAGCATCTAGAAGACTACATCCTTCCCTACAACCCCATAGGCCTGCTCTGTCCTCCCACCTCGATCACGGAGAGCACAAGGAGCAGATGAGAGCAGCGGCCACAGCAGGCAGTGGACAAGTGGATGGAACTTTTCATCTTGGAACTAGCTGAGTCTCACATATCCCTGGTAACCCACTGAGCACCACATCACTCAGACAACTCATTGAGTCCATTTCCAGGACTGAGGAAGAAGAAAAGGTGGAAATAGCTGAAATCACTGAAAAACTTTGTCAGTATGAATATCGACAGCATCGTCACCAAGATCTACTGGAGCACATCACATCAGAAAAAAGAAGAATGAGGAGACTCCCAAAATTAAAGGTGTCACACCCATTCAAGTTTCTGCATAGTCCTCACTACACACCCGGACCTGTGTCCAATCTCCATGGCCCTCACCTTCAGCAGAAAGGCAAGTTCACCACATGGAGACACGCACTGAAACAGACACACCTGCAAATTTGATCTGAGACACCAAAGTTCCAGAGTAGTAAGGGAGAGAGCGAAGTCTGCATTCACCCCAGTATGTTCAACTTCTCAAACCCACACAAACTCCTCTCATCCCAGCATCTCAACTGGTCAATTGACGCCAATCTCAACTCTACAACAGCCCATAAAACCAGCTCCACTTCAAACCCATGCAGCAGGGCTATATTGTAGCAAAGACGAAATCAACTCCAGACACCAACCTCAGGTACAGCAGCTGTTAACCACAGCCTCACCTTACCTGCCAACGCTTCATATCGCAGGCCACAATCAGTGATTAACTATCCTCCACTTCAGTCTCCTGCAATTCATGGACAACCTCAAAAATACACCCATGCCATCATATGCAAGGCCACCTCAGTTTTTGTCAATTGCCCCCGGTGACGACTCCACAACAATAAACCATGCCTGGTCTTCAGTTGTTCATTTCATTACCGAAATGTCTCTGCATGACCAGCCCCTTACACTGGCCAACACTGGGTCCATCACTGGTGGGAGTCCTCATCCAATTCAGGCAGCATCAGATTGCAATCAGCGGTGGCATCCATGCAATGTTTCATCAAATTCGTCTCCTGCCTGAGGACAGACCACTCCTCCAGTTCATCTGGAAGAATATGCACAGCGAAGATCCACCAGAGGTGTACGAATGGCAAGTACTGCCATTTGGCACAACAAGTAGCCCATGTTGTGCCATCTTCGCCCTCCAACAAAATGCTTGTAATCACCAGGATCACCAACTGCAGGTACTGCAGTTGGTGCAACAGAGCTTCTACGTTGATAAGTGCCTCAAAAGTTTTCCACCATCTCTACAGCCAGAGAAAGAGTCGATCAACTGTGCAACATATTAGCAGAAGGAGGATTCGACCTCAGACAGTGGGCCAGCAATCAACCAGCAGTAGTAGCCCATCTACCTGCCGATGCCAGATCTTCAGCTACAGAACAGTGGCTAAGCCAGAGTTATACAGACCCACTTGAACCCACCTTAGGCCTGAGCTGGAACTGTGCTGCTGACACCCTTGGCTATCAGTATCGAATCCTTGAACGTTCTACACTGACAATGAGGACAGCCTACCAAGTGTTAACCAGCCAATATGATCCTCTGGGATTCATGGTATCTTTCACAACCCCCGCCAAAGTGATAATTCAGCAGCTTTTGTCCAAACAAAGGGGTTGGAATGACCCTGACCTACCTGTTACCTCAAAGAAGCATGGGAAGCCTGGGAGAGTGAGCTAAAACATCTCAACAATGTATCCATCCCTCGCTGTTATTTACCACTCCCAGGCTTCACATACCCATACCTGCCCTAAGGCAGAATCAGTTGTCTTCTCTGCCTTCTTCCCATCCAGGCTCCTTTATTTTGGCTTTACTCAGCCTCTGCTGATACCTGTATGGGTGGCCAATTAGTGCGCTCTGCCTCCCTAGACAACCACCTTCAGTCCAGTGTGTTTGAATTGTTAAATGGTAAAAAAAGGCAAAAGAAACCAACAAACCCAAAAACAATCTATACATGCAAAGCAAAAAAAACAATAATTAACCCTAAAAGAAAACAATCATATTTCATATTGATGTTGTACAGGGAAAAATATGATTTTTCCCCGTACAACATTTGTGTGGATTTTGACTTTACTTCAGGATCTGGGATTATCGCTCTCATTAGGTCAATCCTTCTCTTCGGTACTCCTGTACAATATTTGCTAGTTTTCTCCACCAGATTCAAATTATTAGGGTGGATGATAAATCCTGGTTTTAAATCCTCTTCGTTTACATCAAGTTTGGGTTTCTCTGGATTACTGAGACCCAGTCCTGCTCCAATCCACTGTAAACCTCTGGATATTCAACTCATTTGTCAGATGATTCCTGTCTTGATTTCTTCTCAATAATGTTCTTCGATGTGCCACAGATTCTCTGCTACTGACTTGCTGAAGGAAGATGAATAAGAATAATAGCCCCTGTGACGCCACAGAACGGTTTACTATCTAGCAACGTCGCTGCCTTTGTTGCGTAGGCCCGAGGCAGCTGACGTCAGCAAGGTGAAGTCCACAGAGTGCCACGTGACAAGCTGAAGCTGAACGCCATGTCACGTGAGTTTTATCTGTAGATAAAAGTAGGAGGCGGACGTACTTACTTTTTTCTGTGTGTGAAACTAACAACTCTGGCATACATTTCTTTAACCTCTCTGGTGGTGATGTCTTGCAAAATTAAAATGGTCAAGGTAAATTATCCAAGGTATGCACTGGATTTAACAAAATCTTGAATTTCATCTAGACGGCTATCTAAAGCCTATTTAGAAATTTCCCATTCTTCTCTGCCAGTATGTTAACCATTTTCCTTCTGGTTTCATCTGAGGCACTTGCTTCGGTTATATTCCTTCATGATTCCTTCGCTGGCAGGTTTGTTGTTAAGAATGGATTCCACCAACAAAACATTTCAGCTTTTATTAAACACATATCAAAACAGTAATTGTTAGTAAAGAAAAAAAAATCTCTTCTCAATATAAGCGATAGTAAGACTGGTGGATCACCAGGATTTATTTGTTTATTTTACTTGTTTGTTCATTTTAAATAGGGTTTTTTATGCACCAGTAACAGTAAAAAAGAATTAAGCCAGATTTGACGGACTGAACTTGGTGTGAGGATGGGCAAACTCTGCACCTTCCCCTTGGCCTAACAAGCTATTATTGCGTCTCTAATTTTTTTGTAACTTTTAACATTTAACACAAAAAAATGTTCTAGCACCCCTACTGAGCATATCAGGTGTTCTGAGGGAAACGGTGATAAAGGCTTTTACAACAAAGTACTTTTTGTTTTGCATTAGCTTTTGAAAGTCAATTCTTACATGCTTAGCTTCTGTGTCCAGGCGCTGGCGTTTAGCGGAAGGACTCTGAAAGAATGAGAGTCTCTTGAGAATCAGAAGAGCTTGGCTGAGATTCCTCAGGCGATTCCACCATGGAGACAAATTTTAACCATAAGAGAAGCAGATGAAAGACAAAAAGTACTAATCACAATGAAATAGCGAGCTTATTAAATACTAAACATGAATTATACATATAACAAACCAGTTTCATATTTGATGGTTAGGACTCCAGCAGAGGGATCCTTAACGTCCTCAAATACATCTTCATCCAACTCAGTCCCAGAACTGTCAACAACCTTCATGCCCTCTGTTACAGCTGGCATGCCAAATTTTGCAAATGCTAGAGAAAAAGATGAATGCTTGTCTAAACCACAATTATGAGGTTATGTTGCTCTAATACTCACATGTGCACATAAATTCTGGAACATTGCTTTTGAATAAACAATGTGAAGTAACATTACAAACGCCTCATAGCTTCCT